TCTCTAATTATGGGACAGTTTTCATTTCAAAGAATAAGGCTGCTTGTAATGTTCTATTCTGAACTTTTCGTTTCCGCTCGCAAATTATACCGTATGACCGACATACCATGCGCATGGTATGCCCGGTCCGATTGAAAGAAGGCAGCGCAGATTCACAGCCACCATCACAGATCCGAATTGAACTCCAGCGGCCATCATCTGCTCGAATCGCAATTGTTGCCCTCTGGTGGTCCCTCTATCTCCAGGTTGATGTTGTGCGCTGCTCGTCGCTAGCCATGGACAGGCTGCCGCTCGTCACCGGCGGGGATATGCTGCCCTCTACTTGTTGCTCGCCACATGCATCACCAAGCAGAAGAACGCAGGATCTTTCTTGAGGTGTGATGGAGTATATGGACTCCGACCCCCCGGTCTGCCGACTACTGGGCCTGGACAGCGGCCCACACACGTTTAGCGGATATCATTCATATTATTGTACATTATTATTATTATTCAGATGTTCTAGATTAGTTTTTTGTACTATCAGTCCATTTATGTAACTGGATCTGTCAGGCCCATATTAGAGGCCCAGACCCGGATTTTCCCTATATATACTCCTTATAGGAGGCTATTGAACCACAACCAATATTCATTCACAATAAACACTTATCTTCTTCTCCATTACTCTTCTTGATTATTGTTCAATCTCTCCTTTTCATACAATATGGGTATCAATTATCCAACAATGGTGCTCTCGTTGAGAGGTTTGAACACAATCAAGTAAGAAACCCTCCCCAATTACTCAAATATTCACCCAAATCACAAGAATTCAACCAAGAAACTATTCTGGAAATTAAACAAAAAAGAGATGGGATCTGGGTTGCGTTCTCAGAGATCAGAGCAGCGAAGACGACCCCCAGTGCGGTAGGCTCCAGATATCGCCGCCACACGCCAATAGCAGTGGCTAGCCATCTGCTGAAGCTCACCACTCATTCCCAGCACTGAGCTAGAGCCACCCCTTCCATCTTCTGCAGCTTATTGTACCAAGTACGAGCTCCTCCTTGTTAGCGTCGCGGCTGGTCACCCTGCCACCACACTGGTCTCTGTCGCGGCTCAGAACGTCAGATTCCAGACCACGGTTACCGTCTTCAGTCAACTCATTCAGTTGCTAGAGTTAACCTCGAAGATCCATCATTAATGGCCGCTAAGGGCTCCAGGAGTAACGATATGGATGCGGAACTTCCCAGTTGACTTAACTTGAACACTGTGACGGTCGCGGCCCTAGGATGCTTCGTCGGTGCTACCAGTCCCAGAGATCTCGCTCCCGGTCGTTTCCACTTTGCTGCCGGTCCGCCTGAAGAAGTTTTGCCACTAGCACTGCCTGAATGGTGACTGAGAGAGCCGCGTCATCAATCCTCAATCGCTGCTTGACCGCTCCCCTACATTAGCTACAGTAACGTTGTGCTAATTGGGATCTTGATCGTATAAGAAGATGAAGGCTCTACCCACTTTAAAATGACCAAATGTGAAGGCTGGAAAAGCCTCGGCGGAAGTTTGACCAACAACTAGGTCAAATTGGATGGAGGAGCTGCCCAACAAGGAATAAAGGCCTAATTTATTCATCCAACCTATATTTCAGCCCATCAAAAGATAAGTACTCTTTAATTTTCATATTATTTGTATTTATTTTAATCATTACTTTTTGTCGAGCGAATGTAAAACTATCACACAATTATGATCAAATGCCTAGTAGACTGTGACTTGAGACCCATCACTAGGATTTAAGGCACTGACCAAGTCAGGCACAAAGCCCCGACCAAGTCGGGCATGAAGATCGGTCTTAGTCACTCCAAGAATGGAGACCTTTGCGTACGAATGGCTCACACATCCGCTCTACTAAGTATTTTATCATTACATAAGCAATTCACATTTCCACCTTTTTAAAGCGACGAACTCCCGATCAGAAACATAAATTCCAAGAAAAAATATTTATATGTATGTTAAATGAGTAGGTACAAAGATGACTTTACTCATTTTCACCTCGTCTACACTCGCCTCAAGGAGTGGGGGACTGGGGGACTGAGGGGTCAAAGGTTTTAGATGAGCAGAAAATATCACGCATGAGCAGGAATGAGAGTTGAGTCGGTTGAAGAGGAGCTGAGCTAGATTGATCATGTCGTAGGAGACTTACATTCCTTGTTTTATGTTGGGGACGCTAGGTGTACTCTTTTCCCCTTTATTAGGATTTTTTCCCACTGGGTTTTTTCCTAGTAAAGGTTTTCAATGAAGCGCCTCCCCATCATGGACAAAGGTGGTGGTCCCCGGCCGGAGAGGAAGAAATCAAAGACAGAAGAACGTTGCAGATACAGTTTGGACTACTCCCTTTCGCCTCGATTACTCTCGACTCAGGGAGTGGGGGACTTCTGATGGAGTATATGGACTTCGACCCCCCGTTCTGCCGACTACTGGGCCTGGATAGCGGCCCACACACGTTTAGCGGATATCATTAATATTATTGTACATTATTATTATTATTCAGATGTTCTAGATTAGTTTTTTGTACTATCAGTCCATTTATGTAACTGGGTCTGTCAAGCCCATAATAGAGGCCCAGACCCGTATTTTCCCTATATATACTCCTTATAGGAGGCTATTGAATCACAACCAATATTCATTCACAATAAACACTTATCTTCTTCACCATTACTCTTCTTGATTATTGTTCAATCTCTCCTTAGTTATAGGATATGGGTATCAATTATCCAACAAGGTGGAGATTGTGTTTGGGCTTAGGCGGCTGCTCTTGTGTCGGGTCATCTCGGTTATGATATGGGAGGAAGGAAGCTTTTTGAAGTGAGAGGTGTTTAAGAGAGTTACATCTCTATAAAGGTTTTTTACATTTTAGAATGCTAAAGTTACATATTTCAAGTTACATCCAATTTGTATCCATGTTACATTTCAATTAAAGTAGTTTACATCTCAACAAGTTACATGTGAATGATTGTAATATACATTTTGATTAACTAGAAGTTACATGTGGATTCACCGAGTTACATTTCATACAATCATGGGAGCATGATGCTTACCATGCACCGATACCACGGTATATAACTTCTGGTTTCCGCTTTCTATAACTTCTTGAAGAATACTAATATAGCTAGAGCTAAGTGAAATTGTCGGTGGCTCTCTAAAAAGGTAAGTTTAAAATCTTTGGAAATAAAAGGAAAGAGAATAAGGGTTTTTTCATGTTACTTCTACGGTCAAATAGAGATTGATAGGGTCACTGAGGGACTAGAACTAAAAGCATTATACAAAGTAAAGGTCATGAAAAAACAAAAAATGTGGACCTAAAATATACAATCGCAAAAAATATGTTCAAGCCTTTATATTGATTTAAAATTATCACCTTTAATTGTTTGTGTGTTTCGGCTAAACGGAGTTCTTTAATTGAAATGTATCTGAATTAGATGAATATGTTCAAAAAAGAATTAGATGAATATTATATCAATAAAGATTGAATAGATTAGCATATTACCGATTAAAAATAAAAACAATTGTTAAAGATAAATGATTGCATTATTTTAAAATTTGTTTTTGCATCTCAAAAGGCCGAATGGAGCTTACATTTTGTCATTTGACGTTCTGATTATGTATGGTTGGAAATCATCGGTGTCTAATATGACCAACAAGCAAAGTTCATTGGTTGGAGAAGCTTAGGTCCAACCCCGGTTCAGTTCGGGTCTGGTCCGGTTCCGGCTATTCGGGTAGTCCGGTCTTGATTCCGGTCCTAATTTGGTATGGGTTTTGGTCCCGGTCTAGACCCGGTCCTGGTCAGGGCTCGGTCCCATTCTATTTTTTTATTGCTTTTTTACCCGTTTCCAAGTCTAAAATTATGAAACGCCGGTCCGGGATCAAAATCAGGATCAGAACCATCCAATTCAAACAGGTGAACCAGGACCATTATCCCTCTCAAACGAACAAGACTGGTCCCAAGCCCATAATAACAAATTCCGAACTCAGTCCGTTCCCCAACAGTAGGGATGGACCCGAGCCGGTCCGGTTTCGGGCCGTGCCCGGGCGGGCTTTTTTTCCAGATTGTTGGGCCCGGAACCGGCCCGGGTTGATACCGGGTCCGGACCTAACCGGGTCGCGCCGGGCCCGGGTCTATGTAATTTTTTTTTGCTTTCTAATTAACCCCCGACCCCCCCCCCCCCACCCCTCACCCCTCAAATCTCCCCAAAACACCCAACCCTACCCAAGGAAAAGAAAAGAAATTCAAAAAACCAAAAAAAAAATGGGCCGATTCAACAAAAATAGGGCCCCAGCCCGGTCCGCCAGGCCCGCCCACACGGGCTAAAATCCCGAAACCGGTCATCCGATCCCGGTTCGGTCTGGGCCCGCACAGTAGCGGGCTGGTCCGGTTCACGGGCCGGTTTGGCCCGGTTCGGTCCATCCCTACCCAACAGTATCGAGCCCTATAAAGGTCATGTGTTACAATGAAATGTATTTATCAATGCTATTATGAATTGCCCTAAAGATGAGTAAATGTTTCTGAATTCAGAAATAAGATCACCATATTTTTATTCACTCAATACGATTATACGAGTACTTATATATTGCCATGTTTTGAAATTATCAAAATTGAAACATGATAATATTTTCTAAGTTTGACAATAATTTCTTCTATTTAGTAAATAAAAGCATGAATCTTAGTATTTTTTTAGAAATATTCTTTAAAACCTATAATAGTATCTACTCTTATTAATGTCAACATTCTTGATTGAAATGAGACTCGAACCTACGACCTTTTTGGAAGATCAGCAATGATACCATCAAACCACAAGGTACTTGACAACATGAGTCATCTTAGTTTGATATTCTTAAACTGTTTTACTCATATTTTGGGATTTACTCATATTATTAAGTTGCAGCTTCATGTGAGAGTTTAGACTACAGATGAGGAGTGGGAGCCTATTGGAATGATTATGCATATGACAGATTAATGTTAATATGTACATGAATCCTTAAACAGATTCATGTTTTCCTTTTTTGTGGATCAAACATTAAATTTTGCATAGAACAGGAAAATAAATGAATTCAGAAAAAAACATTACAATATCCTCAGAAAATAATAGCCGAAACAAGCTATTTTCCCTCAAGCAAACAAAGCCTGAGAGTCAATTCAGTTGAATAAACCTAGACAAATGGCTCAATAGATTAACAAGACTAACAGCTAGTACGTTTATGAACTGTGGTTGACTTAAAATGCTGCAGTAAGATTAACTTGGCGAAAGAAGCACTATAAATGCAACAGATCAGCGAAGGATTGATATAACTTTGCAAGGATCCCAGTACCCAGAAAGCATCTCTAAATTATCTGCAATACATTCTCGGGTTTCATCTCAACAACAGATGGATTAAAAACGTTTCCCCTTGGCAACCTGCAATCTCAAAGGCCGACCTTCCACTTCCTAAAATATGTAAATAGATGAATGAACAAATAATCATGATTTGACTCTTTGACCTGTACTAGCTAGTGTTAGAAACTTGACTTCAACTAACTAATAGATTGGATTTAATCTTTTATGTAGTATTTGTTCTTAGTTCTCCTTATGAGAAGTGGTTTATTTGAGAGATTACAGATAATTAGTGTTTGTAAACAATAATTTTTATAGAGTAGAACTTGGAGTGTTTATAAAAAAAGTACTTTTCAAAAAAATAAATGAATGAATGAACAACCATGATTTTGGCCCACACTCTAAAATATGGGTTTAAAGACCTTGAATTGAACAAACTAATAGATTTGTTACAATGTACTCCGTACTATTTAGATAAAATAGAATAGAGAAAGAGAGTATTTTAAGCACCCATTTTAAAGGGTACTGTTTAAAGTTCAGCAAAAAAACTACTTTTAGCCTTTTTTAACAAACCACAAAAGTGCTCTTTTAAGCAACCACAAACACTCCTTTAGTGTGGGGACTGTAACAACTGCAGTGCTTGAAACAGAATAATCCACAAGGAATTTAAATAACTTTACCACTCCATCCATGGCTTTAAGGGCAGCTTCCAACTCTTCAGCAGAAGCAAAACTAATAAACCCATAACCTTGAGATTTTCCAGAGTCCAAGTCATACACAACATTCGCATTCAACATCCCCGGTTGGTCTGCAAAAGCTTCTCTAAGGCCATGAGATGTGAGTCTCCAGTTGAGATTCGCGGCGTATATTTTAAATTGACTGTCAGTAGTTTCTGCATTGCTGCTCCTTACCCGTGGGGCAATCACTTCTCTTTCTCCTCCTATAGGGACCTCAGGGAAGTTGACCTTCACCGTTCTCCCCCCTATTTGCTGTTAGATAGGTTAATCATTAGGTTTGTTTGGTTCAGCAGAGGGGAATGTTTTTGTATTACCTTAATTGGTTTAGTTGGACGGGATGGGAGGGAAATGGAGTAAAATTTAGGCTTTCCTTTAAAAGCCCCTTGGAGGGAGGGGTCACTTATGCTCTATTATTTTCATCAGATTGAACCTGGGTTCTTCAAGATTGAATTTTAAAGAAATTGCTTCAAATAGAAATTTTTTCGTATGCTTACCATCTTATGACAAGATCTGAAAAACCTAAGTTTAACCCCAGCTACCTCTGAAAACCTCCATAACCCAGTTAACCGAGTTTGGAAGAACCTCAAATTGAAGGTTTTCGTGGATTAAAATCAGTACATGAGTAATTTTGGTATGTTTCCAACTTTATAAGTCATCTCTTAATCCAACCCAACATTTACTCCATTCCCCATGATTAACCTAATAACTAATCAAACAAGTAAATGTATACATGCACCTATACTCACCCAAGTTTTAGTAAATCAAGGTTCACTTAAGCTTACCGGGTTTCTTAAGTTCACTCTAGAGTCTATCCATACAGAATTTTAAACAACTCTCCAATTAATTTTTTGACAAATTTTGGGAGGGATCATTTGTCCTCCACCCTATGATTCCATAGTTCCATCTCAGAACCCCAACCAGCATACCCTAACAGTCGATAGCATGATGAGGAGAGGTTAAACCAAAGCTCTGTGAATTCCAATAAGTAACATGGTCAAGCCAGCAAGAATAAATTTTGAGAAAATAGAACACGGGAAAGCGAGAAACAATTTTGATACTATTTATTTTAAATAAAATACACAGAACTGCCTTCCTTATGGTTTCCTTCACTACATCACCCTGTTTGATGTAGATTACAGTGAAAAGGATAAAAGGCTATATTCATATATCAAATGTTTGTGTATCTCCTTTTTCTGGGAAACAAGAAGTTTAAGCATTTTTTAGATGATGTGTCATTGAAAGTAAGGGTAAACCTATAGAAGGAACAAATGTATACTTCAGTGAGTACAAAAACGGGCACCCAGGTGCACATTGTCTTCCCTGCAATGCGAGGGTCCAGGGAAGGGTCCCACCACAAGGATTTATTAGGAGCAAGCCTTCCGTTATCATTTATAACAAGAGGCCACTCAAGGACTTGAGCTCATGACCTCTCAGTCACACAGCGACACCGACACCGTAACTGGTGCGCCATGGCTCCCTTCATATAGTTAAGTGAGTATCTAACATTATTTCTTTAAGATTTTTTCTATGCAAAATTTTGTGCGAGACGGTCACATACTCAGATGTACCATTTAAATCCGGGGAACTGTCCATTGTAAAAACAAAGCAATTTGTTGAGTGCATTTTCAAAAAGTGATCATTCTTTGCTAGTTAGCTGAAAGGGGTTGGCTCTACTGGAACATTATGGGGAACATTATGGGTTTCATGGGAGCAAGCTTCATGAGATTGTCTCATACAAGTCTTATTCTTCTTTCTTTTAATTATATTGGGGTCACTTTTCATATACTATCTATATGGGAGATTGGGGGTTGCCTTTGTAAATTGAATTTGAACATACAAAAAACACAAGAAATTTTCATTTATATGTTTATTATTATTTAAATATGTTTCTCAGACCAATGTTTCAAGGAAATCCTTAAACTCGTTATGGGCTAACCTTTGTTTTTACAGGACTTGTGATCCACGCATTCCATGAACTAAAATATGGGGAAAGCACGTGAAAAGTAAAAGCGGTGAAGGAGAAGCAAAACTAATAATAATACATGTGGCAGCCAAAACATTTGTTTAGTATCATCACTTACAGATAAATTGAACATCCGGATTGCCTCATTTGCTTCTTCAACACTTCCCATGGTAACAAATGCAAACCCCCGGCTTCTCAGAGTAACTCTATCGTAGATAACCTACAAATTTATTTTTTCAGAAAGGGTCAAATTGTTTATTGTCTGAACTCAGTCACTTAGCAATTTAGTATCTAATCAAGTTCCTAATAAAAAAGAACTACGTCATGTAGAACATATAACCTTTACCCAAATATTCAGACCTATAAATCCAAACAGCCTAAAGTGAAAATTATAAGTTAAGAAGCTCGTATGTTGAACGAACTGATCTAATAGATTGAATCTTGAAGTATTATTTGACCTAAGTGTTATGGTTTCAATTGCTTCAGAGAGGTCTACTTCGATTTGTGATCCGTAAGACCATATTGTAGAATGAAAAAAATACACGATTGAACCACTGCTGAATCCTGATTTGTTACATATTCAAGCAATAAGCATTAAAACTCAAAAATAGAAAATCAAGAATGAAGTAATTATTAAAGTATATATTAGGATAAAAACTATCTGATTGGGCCACAACTCAGTTTTGAAATCTTTAATAATTAAGCAATAAGCATAAAACCCTCCAAGTTAGAAAGTAAACAATGAAGTAATTATTGAAGTATATATAGGATTAAAAAACTAATTGATTAAACCATAACTTAATCTTGATTGCTTTAATACTTGATTGTCCACAACTCAACATTCTTTATAAGGCGCATCTTTATGTGGAATATGCATCACATGCATCAACAAAAATGGAGTTCATTATTTTGAGACTGATGCATGTCATATATCCAAAGTCAAACTGCACAGCTTGGAACTTTCAATCTTATAATTATGTTATGACTTTGTATTGTAAATATGGATATGAATATTCACCTCCATTTCAAAAGAACTTTCATTGCACATTCTCTAATCTCTTCCTATGCAAGGTTTTTCGGGCTTAGTTAGATTTTTCTTCAAGACTATTTCTAACTTCAATATCAAGAAATAGAAATGGGAGCTCAAACACAGACCTCAACATTTCTAACATGACCAGCTTCCGAGAAGATCTCAGATAATTGAGAAGAGGTGACTGTGAAAGGCAAATTTCCCACAAATAGTTTCCCAGCATCATCTGGTTGAGATTCAGCACCCTCATATTCACCTTCTTCTTCTTCTTCTTCTTCTTCTACTTCTACCAAGTGGGAGTCTTCTTGGATGGCAGTAATAGCATCAGCTGAAGCGCGGAAGGTAGGGGAGCGAGGGACGCCACGAAGAACGGAGAAATGTGTGTTGAGTTTTGGGACTTCAATGGGCTTTGATTTGAAGAGGAAGCGAAAGGCAGTAGCGAGAGAAAATCGGTGGTTGCGTAATGGAAGATGAGTGTACAGCGGCAGAGCAGATGATAGTGATGAAGAGTTGGCGTAAGCTGAGGCGGTGGTGGTGGATGTGGTGGCCACTAACGGGGAAGATATCAACATTCTCGCGCACGGGATTTTGCAGAAGCGGTAAGGAAAAAATTGAATTCAAGGATAAGAAATAAAGATAAGGTCCGATAGGCTGGTATCGGAGCAGACAGAATATTGTTTGAGTTTCGTGTGGAAGATAACTGTTGAGATTATGATTTAGAGGATGAGATTATTATGTGAGATTATTTAAAAAATAACTCGTATCAAATATTAAATCTGGATTAATTTGAGGTTATTTCCAAATTTTTCATTACCCAAGGCTTTGAAAATTGTGCTATACGGAGTACTACTCACTTCACGTAGGCAGTAGCAAACTAGCAACAACGTAGCCTTACATTAGAGGCAACCGTTTGACTTAATTAAAATGTGTTTGAGAGTGTCTTTTATGCCCACAAAAAATGGAGATCATGGTTGAGTGAAGTGTAATAGATTTTTGAGTCGTGCATCGTGTACGCGCCGAGTTACACGTCGGTCAAATTGTCTGTATACAGATAATTTGATCGGCTAGACAGACAATTTGATCGGCGTTTTATGAAGAAAATTGATTTCCATACAGACAAAATATTAAAAGTTGTCTGTATCACATACATTTTAAACCTGAATTTTTCATAAAGTGTCTGTGATACAGACATTTTTTTTATTTTTGTTTGTGTGAAAATCGGTTTTCTTCGTAAATCGTCGTTCAATATGTCTGTGTAGTCGATCAAATTATCTGTACACAGACAATTTGACAGGCGTGTAACCCGACGTGTAAAACTTGACGTGTACAAAAGGAATTTTCCTAGATTTTTTAGAGGTGACAACTCCGGTACCCACCTAAAAATTGGGGTATCATACCCACCATTCACTTGATTGGTTCAAATCATTATATCATTTTTAATTTAGATTTAAATAATTCAACTTCAGCATTCTGATTGGTCCATGCGAACAAAGGTATGGTACCTTAAGGGTACCATAGAATCTCAGATGAGAGAACCCTGGGAGAGCCGCCGACTCCAACTTCATTTCTAGGACGAGTTTTAGATTATTTAAGATTCTTATGTGGCTATGATGTGGCAACAATAATTTATAAAAACCAGTTTTTTTGAAGAGTTGTGCCTAGGTGATACACTTCACTATATCAATTATCTACTTGGATAGATATTAGAGCGTTCCATAAAAGTGCATAAATCTTGAGTGCTCAAAATTGTTCTTAATTTTGATTTTTTATAAATACGATTAAAGTAGTTTCTTTTTTATGCCAAACTAACCTTCTTTCAGGATCATTACATCAATCAAAGGAAAAACAAGATTGACACCAACTAAAATCCAATAACTACGACTGTAAACTCTATGATCAGATTTAGAGACGATCACCCCTGAAAAAGCAACGCGAATCGCTAACCATGTAGTGGGCTTGACACAGACATCCATGTTCCCATAGATCCAAACATACTCAATGACATAAAGAAAACGAATTCTCAAACAAGCTGACAAACCTAACAACATAGACGATAACAAGAAGCCAAATGACAGAATAAAAATAACTAATAGGAAAACTTCCACGGACTCTAGCACCTCGTACAACCCATGGCGGTGGTTCAGGAGGAGGTCGTATCCTTGGTACCACTGTAATTGATCCTCCATTGTCAATCGTCATCTGGCCTGTTCGAAATTCGTGCACCTCTCCTCGTCCCACGCTCGTAGCAAATCCATCGCTAGCGGTCATCTTCATCGCTGCCATGCCCTTGCTACCCTGCCCACGAAGAAATCGATTGTCGAACTATGACTTCGATGTCATCAAGTTTGGGCAAGGATTCTTGTCAATCTGTCTCAAATTCAATCCCAGCGCTGGACACAAGTGAAGAGAATTCACCGGCCGGAAGATCCAAACCTTAGATCTGCTAAGGAATAACCAAACCCTAGACCTGCTAGGGAGAAACCGCGGCGCTCGTCTACTTTTTCAGCCTATATTCCATGAGTTAATCTTTGATTACCGAGCGGTGGCAGCAATGTTGCGTGACATAATGATTTTAAAAATTCAGAAATCTAACTTTGGCATCGATTAAAGTAGTTTCTGAAAAATTGATTCTGCTTTTACTTCTACTTTAAAAAAATAGAAATAAAATCAATTCTATTTTTTTTTTTTTTGGGAAATGTAAATATATAGATAGTAACCGAGTTTATGTACATCATATGAGCAAAATTTGAGGCATATCCAAGCAAGGATACCCTATATCTTCAAAAGATGTAGAGCTTAACTTCTAAACACTATCATCTAGCAAAAACAATCGCCATCACCTCATGACAAAAAACAGGCTAGTTTCTAATTCAAAAAGGTATCATGTGATACGGATATAGCGAGAATAGAACTTTGTAAACCATATACTTAATGTGTGCAATTGTGTCATCCAGCTTTGGTGATGCTCCATCAAACCGAATCGCATTTCTAGTCCTCCATATCCAATAGATTGTGTAGCTGAAAGCTATCCGTGTAGCCTTTGCTCTAATATGTGCTCCTTTGCAATCTCTTGAAATCCATTTCACCGCACTCCTCAACGAAGACATTTGCCTAGAGATTCCGAGCCATCCTTTAATACTCTCCCAAATCTGCCCTGTACAAACACATTCAAAAAATAGGTGTGGTACCGTCTCCGGACCACCCTTACAAAAAGGACAAACATTAACAATATCAAGATACACCATGTTGTCATACGTAGGTAGCCTACGTATGACAAAAAATGAGACCACTAAATGTCTACCAAAGAATCGCTAATAGTACTATATTACTTCTCTGGTTTTGAATTTCAAAAAATGAGACCACTAGACAAAAAAGGCATATGCTTATATTTGAAAGGACGGAATTACTTTCATACTCCGTATGTCCTATAAAATTTTTCCCAATTTTCTTTTGGACTATTTTCAGTCTCAGACCAGACTTAAACAGATCAAACCCGATTTAAAAAGACCAAACCATATTTGGGCAGTTATAAAATACATAAAGACCAGACATTTACCCGAGTAGACCATACCAGATCAAACCAATCAGATCAAAACCAGACCAGACCAGTAAATTTAAGTCCAAAAGAAAACATCATAAAGTGAAAGCATGATTGTAGTTGAACAAGAAAAAGATAAATGAAAGTTAATCACACAAAACTTTCCAAATATAGAAATGAGAATAATTTTTTGAGACATTTCAAAAAGGCAAGTGAGAAGAATTTTACATGACGGAAGGAGTATGTAGATAGTCAAAATCGTATACCTCTTCTAAACCAACCAGCACTACTTATGAGAAAGAATTAAATTCCACCCAAAAACCTTTGTATCATTGGGAAGTCTTTCACTAAACATTAGGGGCCCGTTTGGTGATAATGTGATAGCCAAATCGGCTTATTGGATGATTCTGCTGAAATTTATGAAGTTATGACTGATGTGGCTGTATTGGCTGATTCTGCTGATTTGTGAAAAATAATAATTTAAAATACATTTTATTAATAAAATAAAGAAAAAATTAAATGAAAAATAGTTAAAATGACTTTCTACAGTAACTTTAGCCAATATGATGAAAAGTAACTTCAACCCTATTTTTTCTTATTATTACACAATTCAATCCGTAAAATTAAAAGTTACGCATTTGATGAAAAAGTTGGTGAAAAGCCAAGAATCATGCTATACCAAACGAGCACTAGGCCACCTTCTTTTTTTCACTTGTGTGTTATTTCAAATCACAACTTTTTGTATCCGTCCCAAATTAAAGACCACCACTTTCCCATTAAACTATGAAAAAGTTCTCGAAATAGGACTAAAATAATTTGAAAATTCCAAAATAGAACAGTAATGTTTTTTATTACCAAAATAAGATTAAATACTATCAAGTTTAAAAAACACCGGTAATATTCTCTTAAACTAACTAATTTGTGGTTCTACTTATTTCTCTCTTCAATACAAATTTCAAGCACACAATTTTTATTATTCTTATTTCTCACCTAATTACCTAATTCAAAGAGTGCAAAGTCACTGGGACAAAGGTAGTACGGAGTATATATTATCATACGGAGTAATAGAATTAACTTCATCACAAGTCACAACATCATAAACCGCACATACTTGTCTTATACCCTAGTATTAAACTATGTCACACTAGAATAGCTGCATTCAACAAGCCACTCTCAACTGCTTCACAGGAAAGGCAGTCATACGCTTATACATTAGATCCAGAAAAATGAAAGGACACATTTAAGGTTCCAATATTCCAAGGCAGTCATCAGTCTGTCTTCTTTATGGGCTTCCTCACAACTCGTCCTCCTCATCTTCCTCCACCTCTTCATCATCATCAAGGTCATGAACTCGTCTAGATGGCATCTTGTGGGATCTTAAATCATCGTCATCGTCCTCATATTCTCCTTCTTCTTCAAGGTCATCAACTTGTTCCAGCCTAGGCCTCTTGTTGTAAGATCTTATATCATCATCATCTTCATCATCAAGTTCATTGCCGCCCAGTTCCTGCCTAGACCTCTTGTAAGATCCTCCTCTTGTATCATCATCAAGGTCATCAATATCTTGCTCCTGCCTACTACCCCCACTCTTGTAGGTTCTTAGATCATCATCATCTTCAAGGTTGTTAACTCGTTCACATTCATCAATCCATTCGCTATATCTGCATCACCCGTATACTTCAGTTATACATATACACACATACACATACACACACATATATACATGTATATGCACAAACTCACAAATGCCCTGTGTAGAAACTTACACGTCTATAGCCTCAGTTAAAGCTACATAAAACAAGAAAACAATCTCAAATCAGTTTTACAAGAAGACAAAAACTTCCCTGGGACCTACCTAACGAAGTACGTTTATGTTTTAACAGAATATATGCAATACTTCTTTCGTATGGTAATGCTAACCTGTAGCGGTTGTGCTATAGCTTTCTTTGCAATCACGGCAGTGTGCTTCAGCAATCAAGCTCTTCATATCACTGAAACCCCCACATAAAATGTAAACACTTTAAGATCATCAAACACTGACAAAATATCCCAAAGCATTGGCTGATACATCCACACACACACACATTCAAACCCACACTGCTTGGATAAGGGAATGCAAGAAACGGGAAACATGAAACCTAACTCGTGATAAACGTTTCTGTGCATCACCACAAAAGAAGGTAATGGACAATTCTGCCAATTTCATTGTCTGGATAGAAAACTTTAAGGTCTGTTTGGAAATCAGGAAACGCCGAGGAAAGAATACACTTACATGTGACATTCCACACTCTTCACATTACAGCAGAAAGGACAGTCAAAAACAGTATCAAGTTTGTCCATCCTCTTCTTGGGAGCTGGCTTGGCCCTCGACTTCCTCTTTCCCATTCTATATTCTAAATTCAATTTTCTTCTCAACTACAAAAAGAATAATGGCACAACATGTCAACCACAAGTTGATAATTTATACTACGTAATACTACCTTTGTCCCAGTTCCTATTCACTTAGTCAACTCAAATCACTATAAATCACTTACTTTATAAGTTTATATATCAAATTTGATTCTGTTTTTTGAGAGTTGAGACTATACGAAGATTTTAATGTAATTTCTGAATATGTAATATTTTTTTTCTAAAAATAATTTGAGTGCGGACAGAGATCTATTTGCTTTATCGTCGATCAAGCATCGTAAACCGCAACGGGACCAAAATAGTGGGACGGAGGGAGTAACAAATAAGGCTTCCAACATGCTCCAAAAGGCAATTGCTTTAGACGCAATAGACAATGGTTCATGTTTTTGAAATAACTCAACCAAAACTCACCAAAAATGCAATGTGCACTAATCAATACTACCTTTTCCACCAAAACAAATCTATTTGTAATGTCTTCAATCTTCAGTATTATAAACAGGACTATTTTTGACAGGGATGTAACAAAGTTCTCAAATGGTGGATGGCAGAGCTAAAGCAAAATTTGTAAAAAATGTAGTTTATGGTGGCACCATATGGCGGAATTTAGTCCAATTGCCATACACAGTTTTTCAATGGACTGCCAAAATGGCAAAACATATTCATTATCTAACAGGAAAATTCTACTCAAGATACTTTGCCTTGTCCACTCTAATTTTTAAAGAACCTACGGTTCCTTTGAACAGGTATGGGTCAGGCGTGGTACATCGAGTACTGTAATAGGAAATGGTCCTCTAGGAAGCACGGAGATTTGAAACCACCTCAGGCTTCCGTTTCAGAAACGTATCAGAAGCGGGAAACGGCTGGAAATGACCGGAAACCCCCAACCTGCTCAATCGCCCTGAACTCTTTCACTCTGAAACTTGAAACGGAGAATCAGCAAACATACCTAAACTGAGTCGCCGTCGCAGTTTGAGGTGGACGAGAGTCGCACTCGCAACACACTCTACAGGCTCCAACATTGCAGATTCGACGACTAGCAGACGCAGCCTGAGCCTCACAAAGAAGGCTCAGAAGGTCGTTGGCAGTACGCTCTCATTGCAGATAGAGTTTTGGGCCACACAGAATTTTGGGCTTTGACAGAGAGTATGGATGTAACCTACAAAGCACGGAAACATGACCTATATTTTTTTTATTAGTAAAAATTTAACTTTTGATTCGACATTTCTGTGCTGTACCCGTGTCTTGATATATTGAGATTAGAGTTTCCCTGTCCCCATTTCCATCCACACTTCCATTTCCGTCATGGTGCTACTTAGCTGGTCTTAACCCGCCACATTTGAAACGGATAGGTTCGGTCCAGGTTTTTCATTTCTTTTTATACTTCGTAGTTCGTACAATAAGGTGGTAACAATAACAAGTGATAGCATAAAAAACTAAAAACATTTACAAATAGCATCTCTCCGAAGTCCAAATTAACAAAAAGTATCTGTAGTAGGCTAGTAGCTATGTATAAATCTAGCAAATGAATAAACCTAGCAAATGTATAAATATAACAAATGTACTACGTGTGATGCTTATAATGCCTATAGTAGCTAAGTATAAATCTGGCAAATGAAGGCATCAAGGATAAATCAAATGGTTGTAGTAGCTAAGGCGTGACACATTACATTCTCATAGTCAGTTACTGTAATTAATGATGTTGTCTAGTGAATTAAAAGTCTGCTTGGTAATGATAAGTGAGTAGAATCTATATTCTATATGATTAATGAGAACATGCTATCTCCTGCAACATATGCATGTAGTCAAGTTTTATAGTTGAATAGTTTATTTGAACAGTATTATAGATTGGAGAAAGTGGGCTTATATTGAGAGGATATACTGCATATTCTTACATAAATTATGAATCTCTACTAAACACAATGTGAGATTCCTGGAATTAAAAGGGCAGCGTTGCTCTTCATGAAATCCATACACACATCATTACTTACCACAAGTGATTAAAACTTATCTTATTGCTTTTAATCTCAATATATATATATATATATATATATATATATATATATATATATATATATATATAAGCTGGACCGCCTGGGATAACCGTTCCCGCCTGACAATGATGACGTCACTGTGACTTCAACATGATGTCATCGAGGGGCGTGCTCAAAGTTAATCTGCAAAAATTTGGCTCTCCTCAGTACGAAGGCAACACTGCCAGCGTATTGGGTGGTCATTAAATTACAGCTTGTTACAACTACTTAATTTAGAAAATTATTCATCGTTTAAATGAAAGAACATATCACCAACGAACCTCAACAACACCCTCTAAGCTTGATCTTTTCACTGCTGATAAGATATAAAGAGATATGTACGAACAAACAAAACAAGATGGGATAAAATAAGAAGACAGATAGTAATAATCGACAAACCTGGGGATATCAGAAGAATGGCGTGGTGTAGACTGCGTCCGACCTAAGGGGAAGAGGAGAGCAATATCGCGTACGACCGGCTGAAAGATGCGCGGTAGCGAGAGATGGTAGATCGGATAATTGGTACACCGGTAGTAGGGTTAGGTTGTTCAGATTTGGGAATGTGATTTTCTAATTGGACCGGATCAAACACTTTGGGCCAATAAGTTTAAGTCATTTAATTAATATGGCAGATTAGGGAAAACAGTCAAATAGGTACTCGTATTTTTTCAAAAAAGTCGATTGAGTCCTTGTATTCCATAAAGTTTCAACGAAGTCCCCAAACTACTCCAAAATTATCAATTCGTCTCTTTAACCGAGAATCAACTGGTTTAGCCAGTACCTGCTCATGTGGATGCCAACATGGACAAGTTTAAATTATTTTTCTAATTTTTTTTTCCTACTAAGTCTGATGCTCTCTTATCGTCGTTTACTATTTTATAACATAAACCCTAACCTCCCTAATGCTTTCGAATGTTGTTGTAAACATTCGAAATTTTGAAATGCAATGAAATATGCGATTCAGGGCTTGGTAAATCGGAAGTGTATCTCAGTTCTCAGTGAAGGTTTACGCGAACGCCATTCAGTGCTCAGGACGGCACAGAATGTTTGATAAGGTGGAACTAATACTTCATCATGGAGGGAACTTTTTCAGTGTTCCCGAAACCAGGTACGTAGGGGGTGAAGTAGAATTTATTGAAATCGATCCTGGTTTGATTTCGTTTCCTCATTTAATGAAGTATCTGCAAAGTGGAAGTTATGGAAATATTCAAAGGTTGTTCTACAAACGACCAAGTGAACCAATGGACATGCTTCTCAACATGTTCAATGATGAAACAACAATTCAGCTCATTGAACTGGCTTGTAGTTGTGGAAACTGTGACATCTATGTGGAGCACGGATTGGATGACTGTGATATGGTGTTGTCTTTACCTGCACCAACTGAAGAAACAAATGGTGAAGTACATGAGGATATTAAAGCTGAATTGGAAAAACTTGAAGTTCAGAAAGAGGTGCAAGGCAATGCTGACATAGAAGCTAACATCCAAGGTTTGACAATAGAGGAAGAAACCCTTATGGATGCGCAAGTTGATGTAAATTGTGATGCTGAAACAGAAGCTAACATTCAAGGTTTGACACCAGAAGAAGACACCCTTATGGATGTGCAAGTTGATGTAAATTGTGATGCTGAAAAAGAAAATGTTAGCTTCAATGATGGAGACACCACTGCTGAGGGAGTGGGCAGTTATCGGGAAGAAAATGTTAGAGGCAACAATGGTGATGGAGTGGACAGTGATGGGGAAGAAGACAGTGTGGAGTATGATTCATCCAATCCTCCAAGCTACATTAATGAGGAAGAGGTAGATGATGACCAATCTAAAGAGTCAAATAAGATAAGGTATTCTTCATATAATCCAGACTCAGAGCCCCCTCTTATTGAATTGGAAATGCTTTTTGAAGATTCTAGACAATTCAAGAATGCTATCATTAGATATGCCGTGTTCAATAAAAGGGATGTTTATTTTCTTAAAAATGATGCTACAAGAGTGAGAGTGAAATGTGCCCCTACTTGCCCCTACGCTTGTACTGCTAGTTGGGTAGATAGGCTCAAGTGTTTCCAAGTGAAGGTGTTAAACAGTGAGCATAAATGTAATTCGAAGTTTAAGTTAAAAATTGTGAGCCAAAAGTGGATAGCTGAGAGTTTTGAGGATAAAGTAGTAGAAAATCCCACAATGGGTGCAATTGACTTGAAGAAACTCATTAAAGCTAACATGAAAATACATGTGTCTACTAGTATGGCAACAAGGGCTTTGAGGGAGATACATAAGAAAACCCTAACAGATTTCAAAGACCAATTCAAGAAATTGAGAAAATATGCAGAGGAATGCTTGAGGTCCATTCCTGATTCAACTGTGGTAATTCATACAGTAAGGGTGGTCCCTGAAGCACCTGCAGTTTTCCAAATAATCTATGTGTGCTTTGGCCCAGTTAAACGTGGTTTTCTGGAGGGATGTAGGAAGGTAATAGGATTGGATGGTTGTTTCTTAAAAGGGCAGCTCAAAGGTGAGATTCTAACTGCGGTTGGTAGGGATGGGAATAACCAAATGTACCCTAATGCTTGGTCTGTGGTTGAGATAGAGAATAACTCTTCATGGTCATGGTTTTTGAACCTTCTGAAGACTGATTTGGATATAACCTGACCAGATTTGTGGACTGTAATCAGTGATCAGCAGAAGGTTAGTTCATTTTCCTTAACATTGACCTTATATATATGTTAAACATTTTTTTATAACCTTGACTTTTATGTTTGAAATTGACACATGGTTTATCAAATGTAATTGCTACTATCTTCACTGATGTTGAGCACAGAAACTGTGCTAGGCACATACATGCCAACTGGAGTAAATCACACAGAGGTATGGTGTTGAGGAAGCTTTTTGGAAGTGTGCTAAGTCTACTTGTGAACCACAACTGCATGTTGCATTAGCTGAATTGGATAAGAATAACAATGAGGTTGGAAAGGACTTGCACAAATATCCATTCAAATTATGGTGCAAAGTGTTTTTCAAAATATATGTGAAGTGTGATATAGTTGAAAACAACTTATCAGAGGCCTTCAATAGCACCCATATTCAATGCCGAAGCAAGGTTCTTATTCCTATGTTGGAGGACATTAGAGTTGCAACCATGAAAAGAATAGCCAAAAAACAAAAATATGTGGAAAAGTGGCCAGGTTTTTCCCCACCACTATACTGACTTATACTCTTACCCATGACTTATAGTAACTGACTTATACTACAATATTTTGCAGGGAATTTTGGGCCTATTATAATGAAGAAGCTAAACAGGAACACTTTAGCAAGTCAGGGTTGGCACGTTGACTTCAATGACGATGATGGCTACGAAATAAAGAAAGGAAGGCAACAGTTCACTGTGAGCCTGAGAAAAAATACATGTTCTTGCAGAAGATGGGATCTCAGTGGAATACCTTGTGCACATGCCATATGTGCAATATTTGATAACGGAGATAATCCGGAAGCATATGTGGACAATTGGTATTCCAAAGAGCTGTACCGGAGGACTTACTCATATACCCTCCAACCAATTAATGGGGAGCTATTATGGCCAACAACAGAGCATGAAGAGATTATGCCTCCCTTGTCCAAGAAAATGACTGGGAGACCTAAAAAGAAAAGGGTATGAGAAGAATCTGAGCCACCACCTACCAGTACCCAAGTTAGCAGAAAAGGCAGAATAATGACTTGCTCCATTTGTAAGAAGGAAGGTCACAACAAAGCTTCATGCCCAAACAAGAACACCTCCACGCAAGAAAGACGGACTTCTGTGACAAGGTCAAAAGCAAGGGGAAGAGGAGGTAGAGGTAGAGGTTGAGGAAGGTCTACTGATTCAGTGGGGGGATGGTGAAGGCACAACAAGAGGGGGGACTCACAGAGGAAGAGGGAGAGGGAGAAGTAGTAGGGCTAGAACACACAGAGGATTTGGTGTTTACTTTAATTCCAACACTGGTGAAACCATTTTAGATGTAAGTTCCAAGACCATTTATATTTAATAATACCACAAGTATTATTTGTAATGTTATACTATTTTCCATCATTGCAGCCGAGACAAGGAAGTGAGCGAATCGTGAGTGAAGGTTGCCCAAGAAGTTGAAGTGAAGTGCAGGCTGTGGATGAAGTGTTATTATGCAGTACAGTGGGTGCAGACTGTCCATCATGATAGACCTTTAATTTTTTTTGTTTTGCTTTTGTGGCCCGAGTACAGTGGGTGAAGTGTTGTATGCTTTTGTTGTCCTAAATGTTTGACACCTAAATGACAGTCCTTTAATTTTTGTTGGGAAAAATGTAATGAGTGGCCCTTGTGTATGGTTGTACTTCTATGAAAGTGACCCATGTGTTTTGTAGTTTTATGAATTGAATGGTGTAGTTGTTGGCCGTGATTGCTATTAACTTCTAATCCTTCAAAGTAACTTGTACTTGTCTGTGTAGGCCATGGCTGGTTGAAGCTTTGTTTAACCCTCTGTGTAAAGTTCCCATTCTTGCACACATTATTCCTTTCACATTAGCTTTATTAAAGCAGACATGTGATCCCTGTGTAAGGTACCCACAAGGCATCAATTATTAAAGTGTGATGCAGGCTTTATTACACATGTGATGCCAGTTTTTTTGGATGAACCGTATATTTGTAAAACTGAACAAAAAATCAGATATGCATTCATTATGGGTAATGGTTCTTACATTCATGAGTTAAGGTTGCCCAAGAACTTCACAAATGGGTAATGGTTGTTACATTCATTTCTTACATTTCATGTCCAAATCAAAACACAATAGCTAAATCACCCCTCCTACCAACCAAAACTAACTTCTAATACCATTGAGATAGGTCATTGCAGCTAAAGCAAGTACTGCAATTCCAGCAAATTCAAAAAACATCCTAAAAACTTTTGCATCCTTTGCTTCACTCTCAATGACTCTTCTAAGACTTTCAAAATCCTTTGTTTCACTTTCAATGACCCTTCTAAGATCTTCAACTTGTCCTTGCATAGCACTTAACTGGTCAGCTACTCTTGAGATCATGGCCTTTGCTTCATCTCTATTTTCGTTCCTCTTTTCAACATTAACTGCTTCAGTGGTTTGGATTCCATCTTTCCACAAAAAATAACCACACGCCCTAACCTGAAATTCAATGTCACACATAAACCCTATACTAAAACTTCTTATTTGTAGACCAATTTCAGTCAATTAATTATACCTAATTGAACAACATATAACTATTACCTTCCAATTCTGGCACCCGTAGAACATTCTCCCACTCTCCCATCCTACACATATGGGAGCTTTCAATCCACAGTAATAGTACAACGAAGGCTCATAATCAAGTTGAAAGCTTCGTCCTTTTGTCGCATTTGAAGAAGATGCAGATGACATTGCGTTCACCACTAGCACATGAAAGAGACGACCTCGTATTAGGGTTCTTGATTGAAAGAGAAAAGGGATAAGTAATGAACGATAAGAGAGCATCAAACTTAGTAGGAAAAAAATAGAAAAATAATTTAAACTTGTCCATGGTGGCATCCACATCAGAAGGTAACTGGCTAAACCTGTTGATTCCCGGTTAAAGAGAC